GGACGAGAGGTGGAGGCGGCGTGAGGCGCTGGCCCCTGCCCCGCCCGGCCGGAGCGCTTGAGCCGCTGCCCTGCAGCTCCTCCCTGCCAGCTGCTCCTCTCCAGTCTTTCTGGACCGACAAGGGCAGTGCTGTGCTGCGCTGCCAGGCAGCTGAAAGCCAGGACAGCCCTCGGGCACCGACCCCACTGCCTCAGGTCCAAGACGAGATGCCTTCCCCTCGCATGGGGGAGCCCCTCGTCTTGGAACCGAGCAGGGCAGGCGAGGGCTGCCTGTCTGGCTCTGACCGGGGCTGCCCCTCTGCACTCCCTGCCCCTCTGCACCCCTGCCACCATCCCCTGCTGTGGCTTGGAGCATGGCTCCGACCCAGCCCTGTGGCACCAGTACCCCACTCGCACCCCATGCTCCAGGCCCCAGGCTGTAGCAAGGACAGAGCCTGCCAGGGCTGGAGCAAAGGTAAGTAGGAGGGGAAGGGGCTGGGGAGGTAAGAGGGAGTAGGGGCCAAGCACAGGGGTTGAAATAGGGGGAGGACAGGTGGTGGGGGACAAACTGCTTGCTCCCTTCCACCACCCCCACAACACCTGCTTTCTCTGCTGCCTGACTCCTTACTCCCTGCTCTACCATGTATAGAATCTAATTATTGTGGGGGTCATCTTCAATTCACGGTTGTTTTGGATTTGAGTAAATAACGTGATTTCCACCAAAAGTGCAGTTCTATAAACCACACTCAGCTGCTGCCTAGTCCTACAAGCACCTGTCCTGTAAGTTGTACATTGAAGTCCTTCACCTCTCAAGTTCTGTTACTGACCATACCCCAAAGTGCTTCTATCTTAACAGGGCTGAGTAGCTTAGCACCTGCCTCACCTGAGCATATGGGAGATCTAGAAACCAGGGCCACTTGCACCTTGCTTTAAACCCGATGGGCTCCTGCGCCAAGCCCAGCACATGTCCAAAAGAGGCAGCACATTAGTTGGACCTGGCTCACCCAACATCTGTATAGATCGGGTGCTTTAGTGGGGCTTTTGGGGCACTTTTATCTACTAGCTGATTGACTTAGCTTTAGATGAAAGCACGAAAAAGCCCCGCTGAAGTGCCCAATCTATACAGATGCTGCAGAGCTGGGTGGAAGTAACATGCTGCTGCTTCTGGGAAAGCACAGTTTTGGGGTTTTTTTAAAAACATCTGCAAGCTGCCCAAGAGTACAGCTACATGGGTCCAACCATTATGTAGGGATAACTGAGCTGCTTTTGCGTGCTAGCTCCCAGACTAGAAGCAGTATAGCTGTGTCCATGCAGCATTGCACCTGAGGTAACTAGCTTTGTTTTTAGACCTCTGTTAATTATTCCAGGCACTGCATGAGCAGAGTTACTGGTATACTACATCCAGATAGGCAGAAATCCAAGGCTATCTCCTAGTAGATGTTTTCAAAGCGTTCCTAAGAGGCTTTACAAGTGAAGGGGCAGGTACTTTTTTTTTTAATGCAAGTGTGGGGAATGGGGGATGAATGCTGCTGCTCCCCTCATGCACAATTCAGGCTCATGCAAAAAGTGGGAAATTTAGATGAACTTAGGGGGACTGAAACCTCCATTTATCCTCTTGCAACTATTGCACTTTAAATAAAAGAATTCAACATACATTGGGCCAAAGAGAGAGCATGGCTCTACCCAGATGGTTAAGGCACTCACCTGGGAAGAAGAACTTGGATTATAGTTCCATCTCCATTTTGTCCAGTCCACTGGTGCCCTTGCATATGATGTGAGGAGCTTCCATGGGGCAGATCCTGAATTTTGTAAAGTGGGGGGAGGGTACAGGAGCAGCAACTACTAGCTGTACCCCAGCTCTCAAATTCTCCCCTACTCCAGCAGGACAGGTAGTCCATGCCATAGGAACGCATTTTTAAGTGTCGAAATCAGGTAAGAATCTTCCCTCCATGCTCAGTGGCATTTCCTCTCCCCTGCCCACTGCTGCCACTGTCCCCACTATCCAGCTGTCCCAGGGAAGGAAGGAGCTCCAGAGCCTCTCCTGCCCTGCTGCAGCTGGGCTCTGCAGGGAGTTGGGCTCAGCCAGGGATAGCAGCAGCAGTGATGGCAGGTAGGGTCTGCCTCCATAAGCCTGCTCCCAAGCTGGCAGAGTACATGTGGGAGTCCTAGGCAGAGAAGAGGTACTCACCTGGTACCACCACTGCCACTGTCCTGAACTGAGCCCAATTCCCTGGGCAGCCTGGCTAAAGTGGGACAGCAGAGGCTCTGGAATTTCCCCCTGCTCCTGGGGCACCTGGGGATAGCACCAGTGGTAAGCAGGCAGGGGTGTGGGGGAGGAGGTAACATCCCACTGAACATGAAGTGGAGGGCAGGAGAGCAATTATTACCCAATTTGAGGATCAAAAAAAAGAATCCCTGGCTGCTGCTCCCACTGTGTGGTTGGAAAACGAAGTGCAACTGGGCCCCTCTGGATTTGCTCCTGGGAGCTTTTCAGTTCATTTTAGCTAGACCAAATTTCTTTCTTTTTAATTAAACTAGTTTAAGACCAGTTTTATCTACATATTTCAGTGCCTCATCACTCTAGTATTAGGGTGTCTTATACATAAATTAAGAATCTGCAGTTTTAAGTTCAAACAGGTGGTGTGTCTGCAACATGCACTTGATATAGTGATGCCAGAACTAGATCCAAAGCTGCTGGCTTTAGAGAAACACAGATAATCTGCTGATGATTTTAGACAGCATATGAGAGAAATACTGTGGAAACAATTATACTGTTGAAGATCTCTTCAAGAAAACATGTAACACTTTATCAACAGTCTTCTAAAAGAGCTAGGGAATATGTGTTTTATTACAGCGATGCCAACAGCACTGCTGGGCTGATTTGGCATTTAAGAAACTCCTTTGTTATTATTTAATATCACAATTGTTTCAGATTTCTTCATGGTGAAGTTTACTTATATACAAACACTGAACATTTTAAACCATTTAGAGTTCAGAAATATACACTGTCATAAGATTTCAAATACTTCCTTTTCCCCTTTTTCTCCTCTGCGCTCCCTGTACTATGAAGCTGTATACATATATATGTAGATCACTGGTTTTCAACCTTTTTTCATTTGTGGACCCCTAACATTTTATGAATGGAGGTGCGGACCCCTTTGAACTGTAAGTGTGGATATTCACATACTTTTGATTGAACATAATCATCTTTCATGGACCCCTTAGACACAATCTGCAGACCCCCAGGGGTCCATGGACCATAGGTTGAAAACCACTTGTTTTGGATATTTTGTTCAAGATCAGTTTATTACATTTAAAAAGCAGTTTTAAAGCATATGTAGTACTAACTTATAGCAGCACTTTCTAAAATTATGTGTTTTAATCACCAACTTTCACATCAACGTGTTGTCAAGATAATGCTTATAAATCCAACAAGCATATGGAACAGATAGGTATGAGATTGCTCGGCATGTTACTAAGACAAAGCTCCAGCTCTTTTTTTATCATCTAAACTGGTTAGTGTTTTGTAGAGACTGATCTATAGAAGAGGACTAATTAGTGAGTCAGGGTCCAGGTAAATAGGAAGTTATGTTGATAATGAAAATGCAGCCAAAAGATATGAAGAGGATTTTATCTCCTTTTGCTAAGGATGTGTATTCACCATTTGTTATTCCAGTCTGAAGAATGGGGGTTCTGTTAGATTCTCAGCTGCTGTTACACTATCAGATGGCACCAGTGACCAGGATGAGTTTCTTTTATCTCTGTCAGGCTAAGTAGATGCAACTCTTTCTTTCAGAAGTAAACGTTACAAATATGATCTGTGCCTTTTTCACCTTAGATTAGATTACAGTAAAGTACTGTGCACAGGGCTACACCTTAAAGTCAACTCAGAAACTGAAACCAGTGCAGCTAGTTGCCCCTTTGATTAGTAGAGTTTCTCATCAAGAGCACAAAGTCAGTTATGCTCTAGGATCTGCACTATCTGTTTCATATTTTTTCAATGGAGTTTAAGAAGATTTGACTGTACATTTAACTCATTTGAGACTTGCTTATTCAAAGAAGCTGCGCCTCACTCCAGGAAATGACCTCATATATGTAGGGACTGGAAATCCTGAAGCTGGAGTCTCAGGTTTATAAGAGGAAGTTGCAGCCTGTTCTCCTTACAGAGCCCAGAATTTTGGACTACATCCTCTCCCTTCATCTAAAATAACCCATATTTGCCAAATTTTACAACCTGCTGCAATGCCATTTCCCCCCCGCCCCTCAAACAAGAGCAGGGTGGATTTTTCCCCCCTATTTATTTGTTTTCCAGAATGTATAAATTGCTCAATTAATCTTGCTTGTTATATTGCTGATATTTGTAATGTATGGCAAAGGAACCTGGAAAGGCCTTAAATGTTTTACCTAAATCTGAATAAACATAAATATAAATCTGTATTGTTGATACATAGCTATGAAAACAATTTTATTGTGTTAAAATAAAAATATTAGGAAGGTACTTTTGATTCCAGGAATCTATTTTTTAATTGGAAAACTTTTAGTTTAATAGGAAGGAGAACAGTAAATTATGACACATATATTGGGTTATTTTCAGGAAACCTTTTCAAAGCCTTCCATGAATGCTACATAGTAGTTAAAAGGAGATGACTCATTAACTAACAACGGAAGCACTGGTATCTCACAGGGAAGTCTGCAGTAACATCAGCCATTTCTTTTGGAAGCATGTATATTGTCTTTCATTTAGGTTGCATACTCTAGCGTATAATGATGGGTTTGGAGCCACTCAACCTACTATAACAATTAAACTGACAGCTATGCAATAGGGAACTTATTATATGCACATCTGCTTTCTAAGTTCAACTTTATGGTAAGTAAGAGGAGTTTTAGGGAAA